TATCATTTGTAAATTGAAAATTGGATCAGTGTTAGCATTTCAATTTTCAATTTTTGAAAATTAAAAATAAAAACTTAAAATCAAAATTCAATTTTTCATTTTGAAGAGTTTAAATGAAAACAGAAAAGACTGCAATATGACTTTTTTCTTTAATGCCTTGTCTGTCTTTTAGAAGAAAAGACGATTGGACACAATATCCACTCACCCATGTGGTCAACTGTTACTTAGTTATGCTACCAGCTGGAGCAAGCTCTTGATGAAAATACATTTACTCTATCATGCCAGATACCAAGTAGAAGATTACAACTATAAAATTGGCAACAAACTCCTACACTGTAAATCATTTCATGGTCAATTTAATAATAGCATGTCAGTACAAGTAGCTCTCCTCTTGTATTTTCAGTCAAAAATTATGGTATATGTTTACATCTAGTTTTATTTTATTTATTTCCTTTTGTTGTAACTATGTTGTAACTTAAATTAAGCCCTCCGCATTCTAGTTCCAGGTCACCAGATACTACATAGTATCTCAGGCAGAACCATACACATAGCGTACAGCAGCATTTGTGAAATTAAGTGTAGCCTTTAATACCCCAGCATAGAGTATAGTGGAAGGGCCTAGCTAGCAAGTCTTTACTGGTATAAAGTGATATTATAAGATGGACTCAGCTAAGACTACATCACTATATGACTATCTAACTGCATGCACTTACATGACATCATATTTCTCAGCCAAAACTTGAAAAGATGCAACTGTGAGAGGAAAAGTAGCATACATGTACATTAATCAAGTTGCAATATTTGCAATGAGCTTACAATGAACATTTGAAGCAGGCTGCAATGGTAAGACAGTGACACAGCTGTACTTTGAACTGCAAAATATTTATGAATAGATCTAGATTTATAATGTGGCCCATAGATTTACCTTGGTGTCAGTGCATTGATGAATCCTTCTATCTTGCAGTGGCAAAAAAGTTTAATGATATCCCCTTCATACAAAGGAATTTCAGACCCAACAAAACCAGCCATTTCAGAAAACAGCACCGTCTGTTATGCTGGAAATTCTGCTATAGGCATTGATTATATATATGCGTACTAGAGGTTTGACAGGAAGTCCAGCTAATGTGATATTATTATTAACATCATTACTATAGATGAATGTAGATACAACATAGGGGATGAGCCAAAGCTAGCAATGCATTTATATCAGGGACATACTCTTGATCATGGTGTCAGTAAAGCTCATTTCTGACTTCTACTACTGCATGTATTTCTAGCATAAAACAACTGCTTAACATAGCTTTAGATGCAATATCATTCACTGAGTATTAAACATTAACTGAGGTCCAGGCTGAAGCTCGATTCAGAACTGAGAAAATTGCTCAGTTGACTTTCACACAGTTTCTACATCAACAAAGATGAGTTTCATATTTCATAGTGACTTAATAAATAAACTTCAGTAGCTGCTGGAGAAGTCTTTGGACGGCATTTCTGGTAGACATCTCTTGCTGCAGGATGCTGATGCTGCAGGTTGGCCATTAAATTGATGCTTAAAACTAAGTGGGCGTGGTTAAATTAGGAGAGGTGTGGTTGGATTTTATTTTCGTAATGTCTGATGAAGTTACCTTTGAAACTGTCGTGGAGAGCCCTAAACCTCTTACTGAACCTTCTGAGAAGGTACAATAATGGTATACTTGGTTGATTTGATGTAAATATTCTCAGGATGGTTTTGTATCTCAACATATAAGCGCTAAAAGTATGCCTTTAGAAGGTGACGATAGTTCTCCTCCCTCTTTTGACTTTATCACTGAAAATGTTTATATTGTTGAAAGGTTTGTCATAATGTAGTACTAGTAATGTATATTAATACAATGTCACTATGTCTTAATGTTTGAATGTACATGTATTCCCGTGTATTCCTACATGTACATGTAGATGCTCATGTACATGTACATGTATACACATACAATGTACATGTATACACATACACTGTACATGTATACACATACAGTGTACATGTGCATTCTTAGTATGAAATTGATTGTGCCAGTCAACAGACAAATGTGACATAAGAAATGCCACTTGAGAGTAATTGATCAATCGTTTCCTAGCTTTTAGATGTGCCTTGCACTAGGTATGATTTTTCAGATTTCCAGCACACCCTTGAGGAAAGAAGGTGAAAGAAATCTTTACCATCTCAAGCTAGGATGTACCTTGCCTTTTAATAAATCATCACTTCATTTCCACCAAACCTGTAGAAAAATATAGTCCTGCTAAATTCAGCCTGAAAATATTTATGCTCTGGATTTCTTGGTATAATAGCGAAGTGTATCTGTTGATATTCAATTTTAAGTGGCATTACATTTTCCAACAAAGAAAACCATTTGTTGTATCTTTCACTTAACCATCATTGCATTCACTATTAGCTGCCATACTTTTTGGCCAAATTTGCTAGGCTTACTGTTTGATGCAGCTCAATCAATGGATGGATGTTTTACATTGAAATTATGTATACTATAGGGGAACAACTCGTGATGGAAAGAGAAGCAAGCGAATGATGTGTACCTGTCAGTTTGACCCAGGTATGAATATGATTTTAGTCATAAATTAATGTTAATTTTTGATATGTTACTTCATAGAAACTGATAATCACTCTGAAGCTTGTGGTGAAAACTGTCTAAACAGATTGTTAATGATAGAATGGTGAGCAGAGTAGTATCTTTTTTGGTATTATGTTTCTTAACATAATTTAGTGGTTCTCGTTGCCCCTGTGGTGAATACTGTACTAATAAAAGATTTACAAGAGTAATGGTGTTTTCCTTTAGCAGCTAGTACATGTGCATTCTTTTTGTCATTATAGTCAAGCTATGCCAATGTCGAAGTTATTAAAACTGAAATGAAGGGCTGGGGATTAAAAGCTACCTGTGATATTTCTCGGTAAGCTAAGTGTGTCTCTCTGTAACTCGTTTTATTTAACTTGATTTAGGTATTCATTTGTTATGGAATACTGTGGCGAAGTGTGTAGCCTTGAAGAATTTGAAAGAAGAAGAAACATATATGAAAAGGAAAGCAGAAGACATTATTATTTTATGTCACTGAAAACAGATGAGGTACAGTGTTATCTATTGTAATAATAATAGATTTCTGAAAAGATACTTGACGCTACAAGGAAAGGAAATCTCTCCCGATTTATTAATCATAGCTGTGAGCCTAACTGTGAAACTCAAAAGGTGTTTTTTGTGTTGAGTAATGATTAGTTGCATACTTTTATGGTTTTTAGTGGACTGTTAATGGACGGCTAAGAGTTGGATTTTTTGCTTTAAGACATATACCTGCTGGAGAAGAACTCACTTTTGATTATCAGTTTCAACGTTTTGGAGAATCTGTTCAAAAATGTTATTGTGGTAGTGAAACTTGCAGAGGCTTCTTAGGAGCGAAGCAGACTACTGATGTTGTGCGTAGTGACATGTATTTTCCTACACGGGACAGGAAAGCAAAGCGTCGTTGTGATGATGCTGATTCAATGGTATGTGTATTTAATATGTTTAGCCATTACTATTATCCTAATACTCACATGTAGTTTGAAAAAGAAATATATGATGTTGTGGGAAGCACATGGCGTCTCAAGAACTCAGACCAGGTTCTATCATTATCTCGCCTCATGCTAAGAGCAGAGTCAATCAAGCAGAGAAGAATGCTTTTAAAAGTTCTTCAGGTATGGTAATGAATCCTTTTATTTTAGTTTTTATGCATTTATAAGGCTACCAAAGACAATGCATGTTTAAAGCGGTTCCTGTCATTTCAAGGGTTAAGATTATTATGGAGTTGGATGGTAGAAGTAACAGATCAGCAAACTTCTGAAGCCTTAGATGCTAAAATACAGGTTCATATATGTAGTTTTTTTGTTTTTTTATTTTTAGTACTACCAAGTATTATACTTTAGGTAATACTCTTTCTATTACTTAGATTTTATTGACGCTGCAATCATTACCTGTACCAAATAGAAATGTGCTTAAGGACAATAAAATTTGGCAGTTAGTACAAAAATGGTCTGAGCCAAGTATTCCTTCTAATTCACACAGTAAGTCTGAACTGTTAGCAGCATTCAATTATTTATTTATTTTTATCAGTAGATCAAGACAGTGTTGTCATTCGTGAAGCTGACTGTTCAATTAGCCAAGATAATATAGATGGAGAAAATAAGCATTTAGAGGTATTGTTGAATATCATGCATGGTTTAATTTTTCTTAGGATTGCCCAGAAAAGGTTGTAAAAGTAGAGGCTGAGATTTTAGAAACACATAGTGACCTGTTGTCTGAAGCTGAAAGTAGAGAAGCTGTAGCTTCTTTTGAAGGTTAAAACCTGATTTCATTGTTGATAGCATGTCATACATTTTTCATAATAGATGAAGAATCAAGAGTAGTTAGTATAGCAAATGATCTCCTAGAAAAGTGGAATTCATTAAAAGAAGTGTTTAGAATACCAAAGAAAATACTTTCGGTAAGTTGTATCTTTTTTAGTGTATTTGAAGGATCCAGTGTAGGATGATGTCCGATCGAAGGAGAAAAAAGTGGAAGAGAGCGATGAAGACAACAGGAGAAAGCGCAAGAGAGAAAGTAAATGGGACACCAGTGAAGGATATCAACCAACAAAGTAAGTATAATATAAATTTATATGCATGTACATGATCCATGTAGCACATTCACCAGACCTGGAGAAAAAGTGTCACAATCATATTATGTACCCCAATCCCGCCCACCAGCGAGAACTGGTTTATTAGGCCCTCCTCCTCCATCTATTGCTGGACTTCCTTTACAAAATACTGTCATTGTTCAGCACCAGTCAGGACAAAGTGTTTATGTTCAGCAGCAAATATTCCCTACACCCTCAAATTTTCCACAAGGCATGCTAGCAGCACAGTATGCTCCTGTCAATTTCCCTCCTCCAACATTACCTGTAAGAATTTTATGTACAATTATTATTAAAGACATGTACATATTGCTGTGTTTTTACAATACTACAGTTACCTGTTATTAATTTGGATTCTGCTCCTCTGCCAGTAACGTCTATGCAATCTCAGTTACTTGAAGTTACTCCTAAACCTACTCTTGAACCTAGTAATAGTTTAATACCACCCACAGTTAGGAACGCTGCAGCAAATGTCTCAGCCACAATCCCCCCACCACCTCCTGTCGAGAAACCATTGCCACAAAACTGGAAGGAAGTAAAGGAGCCTTCTGGAAAGGTTTGTTATTATTGTACCTTACTATCCTTATACACGAGGACTACTTTCTTTGCAAATGCCATTATTTGTGTCATACTCTCATTAGGTGTATTACTACCACACCATAACTCGTAAAACGCAATGGGAACGTCCAACTGAAGAAGACATCGATGGTGATATTATGATGGATCTAGCAACACCGGATACTAATGATGATGATCCTAATGATGAAGAAGATGAAGAAGATGATGACAATAACAGTGTCGAGTCAGCACATGAAGGACAGCCTCATACTCCAGAAGGATCCCCACCTTCATTGACTCCAAATCAGGTGAAATAATGTTGTAATTATTTATTTATTTATTTATTATAAATTTTATGTATCTAGGAAAGCACTGAAAGTAGAAGGCAATCAACAGCAAAAGATTCATTCAAACATTCGGTATGTTTATTATGTTACACTATAGATAATCAAGAATAATGTTTAGCTATCAAAACTGGTTGTGAGATGTTTGGACCATCATCGTAAACCTACTTGCAAATATGGACGTATTACTTGTTCTGAAGATTTTAAACACTTAGCTAGAAAGGTATTTTATTTATAAGGCAATAATTCAAAGTCTTATTATTATCATAATTGTAGCTGACATTTGGTATCACTGAGAAAGAGATCACAAGACGTGGCAGTGCTGATGCACTTGAATTTAATGATCAGGTGAAGTCTCGTACTAAAACATATATCAAGAACTATATGAAAAAGTTTGGTCCTATATATAGTCACTCATAGACATTTTATCATTATCACTGGGTATTCTCATAAAGCTGTTTTATTTTATTTTGTAAAGAAAAACTAATAAAAAATAATTATGAATATTTATGCATAAACGGAAGGTGTGCGGATGTAAACGAGTCGGAAGCACAGCGAGTGTCACATGGCTGTTAGGTTGCTTTGTGCCTTCTTGTCCTGTTAATTGAGGTTCATTATTGAAAGTATTGCTCCTCAGTAGGCTTTATAACTCGCTGGTTGGTGATGTCTGAGTCATCTTCAATTGATATGGTACGTTTTAATAACAAGATTTTGACATTGAAAGAGAGTCTCCCAAATGGGAATGCCACATGTATGATATTTATAAAGGGTTGGGAGGTTGAATTTATTCTTAGTCCTCACTGAGAATTTTTTGTGTGTAAGTTGGATCTTTGGGTTAAACTTTTCATATGTTATGTAATCGTAAAATTGGGCAGACAGCCCCGCCTTACTATAATTTATGGGTTTTAATTTGTGCATTTTAAGTAGTATTTTCTGTAATCTTTTACGTTTAGACCGAAGCTAGCCATATCTTGGACCTTCAAAATGGCAGTAATTCACTAGATAGTTCCACAAGGTTAGATAAAGAGTGCCTCTTTGTAGTTTACAATTTTTCTCTATTAGAGTAAGTGGACAAACTAGTCAAATGTTCACTTCTGAAGATAGTGGTGGGGAAACAGTAAATCAGTATATTCAGTCACCAGGTATGCACATTGTACACATGCTGCTATTGACAATTTTTTATATGTAGTTATTCCTGTGGTCAATCCATATGGTCCAATGGTTGTTATGGTATCAAACCCTGATTCAACTGATCATCAAACTACTCCCACCACTCCTCCTTCATCAAGTCCAACACATGAAACGAATCTCTTAACTCTCCTTCGTAACCAATTAGAATATTATTTTAGTAAAGACAATCTTGCTACTGACAAGTATTTATGTAAGTTGCCTTATGTCTTAATGCTTTGTTACTGTTGCCATTGTCATAATAGTATCTCAAATGGATAGTGACCATTTTGTTCCTGTTTCAGTATTAGCTAATTTTAATCAGGTGCTTAAGATTAATTAACGTGACTCTTTATGGTTATGTGCATAGGTGAAACGACTTAGTACTGATATGAATCTTATTGTGGAGGCTATTAAAGGTGTCTAATGTTTTAGATGTACATGTTGTTTGATATGATTTTTATTAGATTCAAGTACTTTGAAGCTTGATTCAACTGAAACGAAAGTCAAGGCTATACCAGAAAAGCGTTGTATATTAATACTTAGGGAAATTCCAAAGGAAACCCCTAAAGAAGTACATGTATTTGTGTTTATATGCATATTATATTGATCAATGATCACTTTAGGATGTATTTCGGTTATTTTCTGGTGCTAACTGTCCAAAGTTTTTATCTTGTGATTTTGCTGAAAATGATTGTTGGTATGTGACTTTTTCTGATGAAGAGGAAGCACAAGAGGTTAGTATTATATTTATGTACCTGTAGTTAATCTAGCTTTCATTATTGTTTTTCTTTCATAGGCATACAGGTATCTTAGAGAAGAAGTGAGAGATTTTCTTGGCAAGCCAGTTAGAGTATGTTTCTATTATTAGTCAGAGTTGTGAGTGATCTACTATTGTTAGGCAAGAATAAAGAATACTACAGTACAACGTGCCACTTCACTTCCAAAGACACGTCCTAATCCCAGTTATAATTATTCATCTGTTCAACCGGTTTGTTATGTATTTTAATGAATCAAATTCCAATGTTACTTTTGTTCTAGGTACAATTCTATCAGCAACCTGTTGTCTGGCCACCATATTATTCTGAACCATCCTATGTATGAATAATGATTTGAATTATGATGTGCTGTACTATTAATATATTATGCTTTCTAGACTTCTCCATATGTCAATGGGTTACCATCACACTCTGGCTTTCCTGGTGGTGAGATTAATTTTGATAGTTTTGGTTACTTTGCCATTTTAGGGGTTCCTTCACAACGATTTGTGTCGTCTACAAATAATAGAAGTACTAGTGGGAGTGGTGCCAGCACCAGTTCAAGTACACGGAAGACTCCTAGCAGCAGCAGCAGCAGTAGTACTAATGTTAAAGGTCGGCACTCAAGCACTAGTGATGTTAGTGATAGGAGGTATGCATGCCTTCAATTTTGACGTGATAGTAGTCAGTATGAATGACTTCAGAATAGGTAATGGTGGAGGGAGTTCATTTTCTCAAGGAGGGGGCATGCATGATTCAAGATATCGTCGTGATGATGAAAGGGATCGCACACGGAACTTGCCAAATAGGTTTAGGAAAAGAAATGAAGAAAGGACTGGGGGAAATGAAGACAAGCAAACAGTAGATAAAGAGAAATCTGCTGGAAACAATAGACCAGTAAGGATTGGTCATTATAAATTATTTTATATCTTTATTTTTTTGTTTATAGAGATATCAAAATAAAAGCCAACCTAAATTAGATTTTGCTCCAGCCAGTTTCCCTCCTTTACCTGGGCAAAGTGATTCTGGTATCACGCCTCTTCCTCCTCCTCTCCCTCCTACTTCTCCTGAAGCTAATTTAGCTGACATTGTTAAAAGGCGCCATGGTTCTCTACCCCTTTCTATTACTGGATCGTTAGATGTTATGGATATTAAAACTTCAGTTAGTGCATTGAATATGAATGAAGGAAAACCATTGTCACCTAATGCAACAACGTCATCTAAACCTGTACCTCCTGCTACTCAAATTCATAAAACAGACTCAAAGGTAAGAAAAGAGTGTGTATTTAATTATTTAGAGATAAAAGACATGTTGAAATCTTGCATGTAATATTTTGCCAACTTTGTTATCAACCCAGCCTTTGAAAATACCGTGTAGGGGGTTTATTTTGAGGATAATAATTTTCGCAAATGGCCTGTATCTGGAGGTTCACGAAATTACTTTTTGCGAATTGCCACTTTTTTGCCATCTTGTACTGTATTAAATTGATTTTCAAAGAATTTAATTTTGTGCATCTTCAAAAATCTGTGAAATTTGCAAAATTTATTATCCTCGGAATTAACCCACAATACTGTATGCATTAAGAAGCCTTCATAATTGTGTTGATGCATTCAATGCATTGTAGATTTTGGGAAAAGAATTTTCTGCCTTACTACATGTACTTTAAAAGTACATGTAGCTATAATGCTTATAAAAAAGACCATCTGTACTTATAGATCTATGTACATGTACATACTATAAACTCACTATAGCCATTAGCGCACTACACGAATCAAGTCATTATTAGGCAAAGCCCTTAGGGAATTGAAGTGTGTCTCTCTGTACCGGTTGTCTAACTATTATATAAGTTAATGGCTTAATTTTCATTGAAAACGGGCGTAGTCTCATCGAAATAAAATGGTGACTATGTCCTCATTTGCAATGAACGAGCAGCAACATAACACTAAACTGTTATCCGAAGGTTTCCCGAACAAGCACAGCAAGGAAGATGAACAAAAATGTTCTTCATTGATGCTAAAGATTTTATTGTAGAATGAGCTTTTTTCTGCACTGTACTGTAGCTTAAGAAGCCTCCACAACTGAACTGCAGTGCCTGCCTCTTGCTTCCAACTATCTTTAATGCCATAAAAAGATAATTTTAATTGCTACAAGATGTAATAACTGATGCAAAAAAATTATATTTTTAAGCAAGATAACACATGAAGAATAAACATCTGTATTTTCAATAATGCTTTGCTTGCTCGCATGTCATGCAGCACAACAAGAGCGTGGCGTTAGGGGGGTGAGCCCCTTAATATTTTACATTCTTCTTCTACTTTTGATATGCTGTGCCTAAATGGTCAGTCTGAAATAATAATAATAAAATAGATAGTATTGGTACATGTGCATGTAAGTGAAGTAAAAAAATCGCTAATGGTCAGTAATACTCACAAGTCAATAGGCGAGTGTGACCCCCTGTTGATTGCAGATGCTGCCTGTTGTGACTAAAGTTTGTAGCTAGTGAATGTAAGGATACTATTCACATTTCTTATTTGACCTAAAGCCCCAATTTTGAACCAGGTCCACAGCGCCAGCATAACTCCTACTTTTGTAAGTGAACAAGCAGCAGCTTCTCGATTCCTTTGTGACTTATTTTATAATAATAATAAGTTTTTATTATTGCTAATGAGATGGATGGATCTTAAGACAAGTCTTGCATTGATGTGAAGACTCCATAGACTGGATGATGATGGCAGGCCGAATGTTTGAATATTACTTGCTGTTATCAATTGTGTTAACTTTCTTGAGATGGAAGAATTGAGCTGATGAGAAAGGCCTGTTTTCTGAAGGCAACTTAACACTTATAGTTGTTCCAGATACTTTCTTAGAAATCAACAACAGTGTGTTAGATATTTTTTTGATATCTCAAACAAGTACATTCATCAGTTTTAGTCATGAGAGGACTACATTACTGAATTCTCATAAGCTAAGGAATCCATGATGAATTTTTTTAAACTGTTTAATACTGAAACTTGGATTATTATTATGTAATGATAATAATTGAGGCAGCTTAGGCAATTCCCACTGTAGCAGGAATTTTCTGCATGTACAGTGTATGTGTGTACATGCATCTCCAGTCATGCAAATCTTCTGGTCACGCCCCATGTGTACTAATTATTTATCTATTTGTCAATGATCTAATACAGTAGCACTATTTATTCTAACTAGGAGAATGTAAAACATTGTAAGGGGCAAACAAAAGCAATTATTTGTTTCATCATAGATATTAGAGACTATATATATATGTATACATGCTTTTGTTTGTTGTGAAATACAGTACACATCAAAAAAAGGCTAAGTAGGGTACACTAGAGAAGAGAACCTTGAAGGTAGTTCGTAGGTACTTCGTTACTACTTTGCTACTCTTTGTTACTCTTCGTTGCGTCATGCTGCGATCCCACCTGGTCACAGTAGTAGAACTTATGGATTCTTCTTTTGGCTGTCTGTTCTCTCCAAGTTAATCTATAACGCCACTCTCTCCTAGAAGCCCGTTTAGGATGTACTGTATTTGCTCCATTCTGCTGTCACACTACTGTCTTCTACTGTTGCGCTACTGTCCTGCTAATGTTGTAGTAAGCATGTGCAGAGAAGGAGCAACAAACTACCTACGCAAAAGTAGAGTAACTGCGGGGTAGCTACTTAGCCTTTTTTTGATATGTACTGTAATTATATAGGCTATAGTTATGACGAATTTACAAATAAATCAGAGTCAAATTTTTATTTATTTATTATTATTGACAAAAGTCCACAAAACTGACCAAAAATGAGAGAAAGGTTAATTGGTTAATGGCTATACATCTATTGAGTAATGGCAGTAACTACATTGTTACTGTCAACTTGCAATTTGATTGAATCAATGGACAGTAGTTACTCCTCAATTGAATGTGCTTCTTGCAAATTTAGAGATGATAATACGTTATTAAACATTGTCACATTATATGAAGAACCATGCATTGCTATCGTTAAGAAATAACTTTGCAAAGGTATATTTTTTCGCTTTAGAGTGCTTGCATTTTGACTTGCACTTAGTACATTCATAAATGTCATTGTATACAAGTTACATTTGAAAATTACAGACTGTACACTTTGATGTTCATCATAAATGACAGATACATGTATAATCTCACCGTCTATCAGTGTTGTTTTGGTTTATCTGTAGCATTTTAGTTGTAGTTATAGTACTCAAAAAAAAATATTATTAGTTAAAGTTCTAGTTAGAGCTAAGATATAAATGCCTTATTCTAGTTATGATTAATCTTTAACAATTATTTTTAGTTATAGTTTTAGTTCTGGTTTTAATTATCAACAATGTAATTCAACAAAACAAAATTAGTCAAGCAAAATAGCCCTGTTCATTCGGAGTAGAGTCTCCCTTTCTAAATTTTTTCCACTCAAACGATTTTATTTTCCTCTGCAAGCATCTCCACTGATGGAAAAAACCCTTTCTACTGGTGCAGATGACGCAGGAATTGACAAAATGTCACCTACAACATCAAAGAGCTTTGGATATGATTGAGAGCATGAAAGCCAAAACATAATCGGGTCAATGTCTTCATTTATGTCCAGATTCTAGTTATCATATAAGCACATCTCCTCTTCAATTTTTGAAATTTTATCAAGTGACTGTGACAGGCTTTCTCTGTTTCTTGCTAGTATTACAGCAAAGTGTTTAAATTTCTTTTTTGGAGGCTCTAATGATTGAGATTCAGAGTTATTCTGGAATTAGTCATCTAACTCAGAGCTATCATCTGTCTTACTAAATGAAATAATTGCCCTCTTAGCCTCAATGGTCTGCTCTCGTGAAAGAGCAAGCCATAACAAAGAAGATAAGTAGCAGCAACATAAATAGGATCAAAGTAAGTAGATCTAGTGTCATAAACTCTTTGAAACGTCGATTAAGCTCCTGAACTATCATATTACTCAGCGCGGCCATCCCCGGTTTTCCCCCTATTTCTTTTAGATGCATTCCAAGTTCCAATACAATAGGTATTATGGATGAAATTGAAGTGCAGTTCTCTGAACTAGCCAACTGGGTATAATGTGCAAAAGGATCGAGTAGAGCTTTGTAGTTTTCCAACATCTTCCAATCACTGTTAAGAAGACAATTCCATTCGAACTCTTGGCATATGTCAGTCACATAGACTCTAAGCTCTAGAAGTCGTTACACCACAATGTGGGTAGAACTCCAACAGGTAGGGCAATGACTTAGTAGTTTCTTCTTAGACAGTGCTATTAGCTTCTCTGTTGCCTTACTTGATTCATTGAACTTTTTTACAAGTGTAAATACTTCAGCCAATATTTTTTTTTACTGAAGGACAAGTATCAAATTGTTGAGCAACCATTTTTAAAGTATTGGAGAAGCAATTCAGTCTATTCAGACTCAAAAAGACGGAATCATGCTGAATCTCTGCATTATGAAATGCTTCTATCTCTTCCAGGACCAAAGTATTGTCAAGAGCAGATTCGAATTCGTCATCATCAACCGGAGCCTCCATTATCACTTCCTCCATCACCTCCTCTATCACCTGCTCTATCACCTCCTCTATTACCTCCTCCTCCTCTCTCTCGTCTTCCTTCTCCTCCAGTATAACTTGACTGTCTTCTCTAAACACAGCAACCATATTTGAACTGTAGTCAGTTACAATCCTACTGACTCTATCACATCTATTTCCTAGTCTCGAAGAATATCTCTTGTTATCTGAAGAACTCTTTCTGCTGTGTGAGGATGAGTAAATCACTTCACTGCTAGGGTACAATGAAATGAAGAAAGGCTTTTCTTCAAAAAACAGTGACCAGTAACACCTAGTAATGATTCCAACATTCCTTTCTTTGACCAAATATCAATGGTCAAAGCTTTTTTCCTCCTTGAAGCGAAAAAGAAATTCTTCTCTTAAGCTCTGTAAGTAACTTTGACATCTCTCTATCCATGGTATTACGAGAAGGAACAGAAAACCTAGGGTTTAATTCATTGAGAAAGCTTCTTAATTCTTTGTTTTCGACAATACTAACTGGGGAACTGCTGGTAGCGACTAATATTACGAACTTTTTCATTAGGGAACAGTAGATGGGACTACCAGGCTCATAAGGTTTCTTTCCCTGAATACATGATTCAATTGTTGGTGTCAGCGACTTGTTTTTTGTAGAGAACGTAACAATGACCTTCTTGGCTTCCTCCTTTTTCCTCCCTTTTTCTCCATATCTTGGCGTTCCTTCTTGTGGAATTTCTCTAGATGCTTTCTCAAGTTAGTGGGATATTTGCCAGCGATCTTGATCCCACAGAGCTTGGGCTCATTCTGGCCATCCCCAACTTCTACAATGCAAATACTCTTGTTCCCTTCTTCATTAAACTCGAAATATTCCCACACAGAGCTTTCCCGGGGCCTTCCAGATGTCATTACTAACTGTTGAGAATGGATTGAAGAGGATCCTTACAGCAGCGAAGTCCACCATGTGAAAAGTAGGTGTGTCACAAGAAGGAGAAGTTTAATTAATTGGAAGGTGTGGTTAATACTAGTGCAAAAAAGACTCTTGATTCTAGTTCTAGTTTGCATTACTCATTTTAGTTATGATTCTACTTAATTAGTCTCGCCCCGCCCCTTTGCTACCTGCGGAGGAAGGGTCTGGAGACACTCAAGGTAAAAATGTGTGCTCATGCAGAGAAATCCACGTCCCAATCAGATTGCTCGAACCACGTGTAGGACAAGAAGTCATGTGACCGAAGAGCTCTGTTTCAGACAAAAGAAGAAGAATGAGGACCAAATAAAGGAAGGAAGGAGCCTGTAACGCTCCCTGGACTTCTTTCTCAAAGTTTAAGAGCAGCATTACTGTGCTGCTTACTACAACGACGCCATCGCATTTATGACGTAATAATACTGTCACGTGTTTACAATAAAACGTCATCAATAAAAAGTAAATATTATGGCGCTCTGTGAAGAGTTGCTGCTCTCAAATCTGCAAGAGATGTCCAAGAGACTGTATCCTCATCTTTTCTTAGCTGCAAAGTATCTGTTTAAGCTGTTTTGACGGATCTGGTCTCCTCTGTCACATGACGTAGAGCTAACCACGTGTTCTTCTTTCCACACACTTTTACCTTGAGTGTCTCCAGACCCTTCCTCCGCAGGTAGCGAAGGGGCGGGGCGAGACTACTACTTAATTTGACACAAATAGAAGCATATTAGTTTAGTTAATTAGTATTACAATTTTGCCATACTAAAATAGATTTAGTTACAGTTATAGTTAACTAGCACAACACTGCCATCTGTTACTCTCTCGTATTGGGGCTGAAGAAGTTCGCTGTCACTAGATATTGAGATGGTGTTCGTGATATCTTCAATAGCATCCCATACTGTTTTGACAATGAAGGACAGAAAAGTAGTGTCATCATATTTCTTTACTCATACTTTGGAGAAGTTATAAGGCGTGCTAACCTTTAAGGAACCGACATTGCCTTCCCAGAGACGCTTCCTATCTTCGTTACTACTCATCAGTGACCAAGAGTTTAAGAACAGTTACATAAAGGAAATCCAAAGCTTCTTTGTTAAAGTAGTTGTATTTACTTCACAGAATTTAGTTTACATGTGTTTTTACAATATTTCATCCTACCGCATTAAGTCATTGACATAAATAGATACCTTGTGCACACATCTGGCCTGGGTGTGACCAGAATAGGTGTGACTGTAAACACAAGTACATACAGAAGAGCTTCGCTTCAGTGGGGCTCGCTTTTGCTTGCCCCAATAAAATGATGTAAAAACACATATGAACTACGAAGTGAACCAGTATTGATGAGTGAACAGAAAAGAAAAAAGCTCAACATCAACAAGCTAGCTGGAATAAGAGCTGACAGTGACAGCCCTTCTAGGTGTGTTTAACTGTTGCATACTTTATTGCCCTTAACTTAGTGTCTGTATCAAGGCTGTAGCATTTATGTTGAATGAGTTGAAGGCACAAAACAGAGACAGTTTTAAAACAGTAGCATCTACATGTATGTTGATTTAATAAGAAGATTGATTTCTCGTTATAGCCTTAGCCGTTGCCCACTCTCTTGAAACTGTGTCATATAAAAGCCATTGGACTTCTCTCATGTCCCTCAACAACAGGTTTATGTTCTCTTCCTTTAGAGCTACTGCCTGTAATGAAAATGCCCTTGACCTTATGAATATATATGACTGATCTGTGTTCTTTGATTGAAAGGAGATTATGATCTCTGGCAAATAGTGTCTGATTAGGACATCTTTCTGAGCGAAGGAGTCATTCAGGAGCCATGTTAAATCAATAAACTCCCTCTTCTTAATCCTCTTTATTGCATTGGTTGATATCATTACCACGGTCATCATTTTGATGTTCTCCCCAATGAGAATCCCTCTGAGCTGCATGTATCCCTTGTCACTAGTAGAGACAACACTGCAAGTCTTCCACCACAAGTGAAGGTTTTACTTTTAAGTTTACACTATCACCTATTGGAGGATAATCTAATCACACTAATCAACATCTACTTGTATCTCACTCAGCTAATGTTCTTTGTAGCCTGACTCATACTCTATAGGCAGAAATTTTTGTGAATGATGAATTAGCAGGAATTCGTGAGGCCAAATTTTGTGAATTTTTTGAAGTACCACCATTTTGTAATAGTTTGGAGAGTTAAAATTAATTAATTACCATGCATGAATAATAATGAGCCACCATTTTGAAATAAGCACGTTGAAAGACATGGCAAAAGAGTTGGTGATAGAAAGCTGTGTTAGAGGATATCAATCATGTGTATAAAGAGACATGGTCAGCCTCAATTGGCCAGTTTCTGACCTGTCGACCGAAGGATGACAATATTTATGATCTCTACTCTACTGCTGTTTTGGAAGGAACTGGTGAAACGGTTGGCCACATTCCACATTATATCTCTGCTTTGTGTGGATCATTTTTCAGAAGGGATGGAAATATTTTATACTAAGTAACTGGTAAGAAGAGGTATTCTAAAGACCTGGAACAAGGTGGCCTGAAAATTCCTTGTCTAATGATCTTATATCATCTGAAAGTAGATATCAAAATAAGAAAAAGCTCCAAGGAATATTGGGAACAAAATATCAGTTAGAGAGCTCAAAGGACACAATGAAGAGGAAGGTGGACCTAAAAAAGATCAAATCAGAATTGAAGGAAGAAAACTTAGAAGGCAGACATTTCTTTATCTTACCACATTATCAATCAACTATATACTTCACATTATTTTATTATAACACTATAAATTATCTGTGGAGGGAGGAAGTCTCCAGACATTGTGCCAGCAAACAATGCTGTTATTGGCCTCTTATCATTTGTTCCAGGAACAGCTACTCTCGTTGATCCCTCCTTGGCCATAGTCCACTGACCAACTGGAACACATTTCAGACCTGTATGATCCCAATTGACAATGAGAGCACTAGGTATATCCTCAATATCAGTTATACAAGTGACATCAAACAAAAATTGGTGCTTCATGGTTTCAAAGTCATCTGACTTCACACTCATCTTTGTGTTGGCTTTTTGTTTTACGTAACCCATTCTCTTCAAAACACTTCTAGCCCGCTCTTTAGAAAAGCTAATATGAAGACCCTATAGGGTGCTAACTTCTAGAAGCAATTATAGATACCGTATATGAGACACTATCCGTAAATTTCCGTATCCTATCCGCATTCTTTAATAAAAAAAATTTCGAAATTCTCCTGGTGGTTGGCAAAACAAGGCAAAACCAATGGATAGGAGGCTAAAAGCAGCCTTTGTGGACAAGTTGCTTCAAGTGCAATGACGCTTTTTCTCAGGAGACATTCTGGGCTTTATTCTTCACTGTTTTTGGCATTTATTGCCACTCAGGCAAGCTCTGGAAGCCATGAAGGCCTCTTGTTCCTTGTTTCCCCATGTAGCTACACTGTATCTTGTCCTCCAAATCTTGAGTGTGGGTGGATACCGTAATGCAATAATTACTTGCAGAAATTAGCGCCCTATAGGGTCTATATGACCACCATTTATCTCAAGCAAGTTCTGTCATAGCCATTCACTATCCCCTTTCCAGTTGCTATTACGATATGAGTGTTTACAACTGAAGCTGCTTATTTCCCAACAATAAAGGCCTTCCTCTTTTTCTTGATCCTAAGTTACTCACCTCTATGAGAGGATCATTTCCTTTCTAGATGCTAACTCCTTTTGTCTTGGTTCATCCAAGTACAGACAGTACATTCTTTCAATGATCTGTTAGAGAAGTCACCTTTATTATGATGCTTGACTGTGTTAGTTATCCCCATCTCAGCAGCTCTCTGGGCAATCCTCACCTTCTCTTCTTCTGAATACACATTGTACTCTTCCTTTTTCCTTTTTGTTGGTCATCATTGATACATGTGTCTACTACAATTTTTCTTTTCTGAGATAATACATTTTGGACATTGTTGAGTATTTCTGTATTTTCTTTTTTTTTTATCATCAGCAATTCTCTTTTATGCATAAATTCTATTTATGTTTCTCTAGCCAGTTTGTTTTATGAATGTCCACTCCTGCATGAAAGACTCTAGTTGCACCGGTGACCCTCAACTAGGGGTTTGTCTTCTGCCCTTTGATTCCAGACATCCTCCATAAGCAAGATAGTATCATTCCCAAGCATATCCTTCATAGTAGATGTCATTTTGAAGCTCTTCTAGTAACCAGTCCTATTAATACGAGATAAACTTATTTGTAATTTTGTATAATTATAACTTACTTCGAAATTGTGATTGTTCTTTTTTAGTGTCAGATATTTTCCTATTAAGCAATAGGCATTCTCAAACCCTAGGCTTTCCAAATGAGCACCAAGGATGGCACCAATAGCCGCTATCTCGGTCACTTGCTTGTCCCCATTCTTTCACCTATGAATTTAAGATACTTCAGGCTTTTTTGTACTGCAACTTTAAAAGAAGCTTGTTTCTTTGCCTAAAATAGAAATGAAAGTAGTTCTAGTCAAGCTACATGTAAATGGCCAGAATTAACACTATATCCCTTTAAGGGGGATGTGAGTTCTAGTACTGAAAGTTTTTTCTTTACAAGACTTTCTATTTCCAGAAGATCAACTTGGTTAAGCTTTTGAGAGACTATCCAGAGTATCAAAGACATCACAAAGAAAGGGAAGATTTACAATAAACCCCAGTTTCTTGAGTTGTATGTTCAATCCAAGAGCAGTAGCATCACCTTTGGCAGCTTCATTCCTTAGTACAGATTTCACTGGTTTATAGCAGTTTCTCATTGCATTGATGACAGCATTCTCAATTGAGTGAGAGATATCTGGCCTCAGAGGGATTTTTTTAGCTTTAGTTTGTGATGATCCATCACTCTCTTGTAGCATAAAGAAATTGCGAAATTGATATTGAAATGGAATACTTTGCAACATAATTATTACAAGTAAAACGAACCAGTCATTTATAGCATAGTATGCAGTATGGCCACTAAGGGTGGAGTCTTGATAACCTGTGCTGTAATCTTGTGCTGTACTGCTGTCTAGACTCCACCCATCATGCCATTGCTGGCCATACAGCAGCACTCTTTACTGTTTTTTAACTAATACTTAAGGCTATGGCAATTAAATTCATTGTATCTCCTTCATAAACGGGCAGGCGGGTGGATAATTTAATGGTAGTTTTCAATTTTAAGGCTGTAATATGTATATAGACTAGGTGGTAGTGCTCTATGGCTGTAGACCTGAGGCTCATGGCAGGTCTGCCATCACTAGTAGCAGACCTTGTAGCTCCTTTGATCTATGTCACTAGTATATCAGATATTGTATATATATATATATATATATGACGTCACTCAAAGGAACCGATATCTGTAGATAACGGACCTGTGGTTAGAAGAGGTCAGGATAGGTCTGATATCTAGAGATATAGGACCTGTCACTAAGTAAACAATCTTAAAAATAAATTTAATTCAATAAAATAAAACAGAATTGATCAAGTGAAGTAATTTTAGGTCTATAGTTGTCATCCTCTGAGAAGATAAGAAAGTTTCCTAATTTTTAAAGGCCGACAATGAACAGTCGCCTCAGGAAAGTTGAGAAAAGTGCTGTAATTGAAGCTAGGAAGGGCTTTGTTCTGTAAACACTACTCGAAGCACTGAGTGGGCTATGGGAAGTCGCTTGGAAAGCATCCCTTCTAGATTTAGGTCCTTTCCACTCCTTTTCGCTCACTCTCTTCAGTTTCCAACCTAACGGTCTTCTCAACTCTCCTCAGTTGCCTAATTCTTTCTCTCTCCACCAGCGTTCTCCTTCCCTATCCCCAATAAAGCAGACCACTGTTCAGTAAAGAGGACGAGGAGAAAACGATGTCGACAGCTTCACTGCTTCGCCCCTTCCTTGTCAGCCATTGCATGAAATGTGCTTAACATGGGTATGCGCATGCTCAATATGGTTATTAACTAGTTAATTCCTTAAAATGGCATCATATAGATACGATATGTTTTACATAGTATAGTAGACAGGTCTGTATCTG